AAAAAAAACCTTGCTACGTGTACTGCATTAGGCTAACTGAGACTTGTCACAGCACATAACATATTATTGCTCTTTTGATGGTTTTTGATTGCTTCTATTGTCCTCATTTGTAAGTCGCTTTGGATAAAAGCGTCCGCTAAATGACTAAATGTAAATGCACAAAGATGTCAGACGTCTTTAGCTCACCTTCAGATGGCTGTGTGCTTTTAGTTGGTGTTCCTATGGAGCCTTTGATGGTACATAAGTCAGTAGGAGAGAATTCAGGCTCTCTGATTGGTTCGCGATGAGTAAATGGATTTAAGATTGTTGAAGGTGACTGGTCAATACCCAAATTTAAAAGGTACAACTATAAAACAAAAAGACATAAAACAGAATAATAAAATATCTATCAGGGTAGAAAAACTAATTACAAAAATCACCCTGATTGAGCTACGCAATATCGCGTTCATAATCGCAGATGAATCGCCTTTGATTATAAACGCGATATTGTGTAGCTTGTCAGTGAACTACGGCTCTGTGTAGTAAATGCCGCTCCATCTGAAAGCACGTGATGGAGATTTACTACTTATAACAGAATCGGCTTTACTGACGAGATGCGCATGACAATCGCATGCGATTTATCGTGCAGCCCTAATAGAAAGGGAATTTCATTTAATGCCGTATTTAAATGCATCCTACAAGTTCTTCTAGAGCACTGTGAACTTACAGGGATCCTGTCTTCAATGTTGAGTTCCCTAGTGTGAGGAGGGGATGCAGGTCTGGAGGTCCAGTAGGGTGCATAATTATCTACTTCAAGACTCACTACTGAAGAGTGAGTCTTGATACTCTGCTCACCATGGCAGCTGCCTTGAGAGCTTGAGAGAGTGCTGCTCATGTTGAGGTTTGATGACACGTCACTGAAGCGCCCCAGACTGAGGAAAGGAGACATCTTGACTGAGCTTTTATCCATGTGAGGAGCTGAGCTATTTTTTCCTTCACCCCTTCCACCTGAAATGAAGGACGACTGATAGTCCAATGATCTGGTAGCTGGAATGATGTTATTAAATTGTGCTACTGGAATTTGCTGATTGTGTGGACCAGTGTCTCTCTGAATAGAGGTCACCACAGAGCTCAGGGAGGAGTGAGAGTGTGAGCGATTGACAGGTGATGCTTGTCCTCTGCACGCACCCATCCCAACTACATCCACCCGACGGGGTGAGCCACTTCCAGAATGAGAAGAGGAAAGTGGCTGAATCATCTGGGAGCTGGGATTAGCACCAAATGTCAGACACGTGTCTTGAGAAAGCTTGTGGTTAAGTGCTTCAGAAACAACATCCTGTGCTTTTTTCTTGGGCGACACACCATCAAACCCCTGTAGTGCCAAATTATCATAAAACGACCTGCTAGAACTTTGATTGGCTTTCCAGGCATCTACTTTCTGTAAGTAGCTCAGACTGGGAAGAGAATGTACTCTCCCAAGGGCCAAACGAGGAACCTGATCTTTCATCTCTGCACCAGAGTAAAAGTGCTGAGTGTCGGAGTGAGGTGTATCAGAGTGTGGATTTAAAACAGGAGGAGGAACTTGTTCGTTTGAAATGGGATGGGCATGTGACATTGTTTGCGCAGTCTCTGAAGGTACACTAGGAACTGTAGCTGTTGTTTGAGAGTGAATGGGAGAGGAACGTTGATCGCTTAGGTTCAACGATGGAATTAAGCCAGTTTTGGAGTGACTGTTTTGGGAGGATGTAGCCGCAGAAGCAACAGCCTCTTGTTTGGAGTGTATGAGTGAGAGTTTGGTCAATGCTGGTGGGAGTCTCATGAGAGGTAGCGCAGGTGTGGACTGAGACACAGGCTGAGAGCTCAAGAATGAACCATCTGCTGCTGTTAGATGACCGGAGCTCCAGAGCACTCTCTGCAGACCTGGTACATGCAACAAACCTTCACCAGCTGGTGTGACACATATTCCACTATGAGAGCTTTTGTTCCCACTTTGGTGCCTACTTGCTGGTGCCGAGATGGAGCCTCTTTGTCCTGCAGACAGAAGCTGATCATGGAGATGGTCAGTTGTTTGGTGTGAATGCATCCGTGAATCACGAAAAGTTATATTTGAAACATCTGCAGCCTTCTGAAATGAAGATGATAATGATAATGGGCCCCCTTGGGGCTGCTCTCTGCCTTTTTGAAGATTCATGGAAGGATCTAACTGGCTTTTGTCTGTGTTTTGGTGAAGTGAGGCAGGTTCAGAGGTGGAGGAAACAGCACTGCTGTCACTAACAGCCACAATAACATCCTCTTCCCTGGACTCTAACAAGCGCCGAGTAGACATTCCCTCACTAAGCTGCTGAGCAGTGGTCTGCTCCTCTCCTTCCATATGTCTGCTGATTTTGTCCTCAGCACCATAAGAAATGCTCCCTTGATCCTCAAGCCCTTTGCAATGGTCTCCAGGTGACAGGCTGTGCTGGGAGAGTGAACAGCAGCTTTTTTCACCTGACGGGACTGTTGGTACCTCCAACGGATGCTGGGAAAGTGCAGCCTGGTCAAGAATAGTATTTTGGTGGTGGGAATCATCAGTTACAGCTACATTTGAAGTCCTGGGGCATCTCTCAGTCATAACTGAGAAGTCAGGAAATCCCCTGTGTGCACAAAAACAATAGAGAAAATATTATCTAAAAATACAAAAAGGTGAAGAAAAATTTGAACATGACTAATCAAACAGTACCGAAGAGGGACAAATTCTGCATCTTTATGCTGAAAAAATGTGGAGTCAGAAAGAAGGTGAGATTTGTCCAGGCAGGGATGCAGGGTAAGTGCAGGTGACAACTGGCTATCCTGAAACTCTGAAAAAGAAAATCAATTAAATAATTATAAATTATATATAATAAATGTCATTATGAAAAAAAAATAATAATAAAAAAAAACATATAGGAGCTAAAATGCTTCTGGCATGAAGTAATGTACAGTGAATTTCAAACATCCAGTTTTTTTTTTTTCCAAAATCCAAACACTGTGTTTATTTAGTTTTAAATTGGAATCCCAGATTTTCAATGACTTTAGATCTTTGAAGCCCACTGTATAAAAACACCTGCTCTCTGTACCCAGTTGTAAAGTCTCAGATCTGTCAATGAGTGGCTGCATGCTTGAATCCTGAGTGTTACTAAATGGTCTTTCATCATTGTCAGGATCTGTGAATGGTCTGCTAGCCTCTGAATCATGCATATTTTGTCCATGCTGCTGGCAGGGAATCTCTGCAGGGGGCTGGAAAGGTAAAAAGAGAAAAGGTAAACTTGAGTGTCTGCAAGAATGCTCCAATTTTTAATGATTGCAAGAGAAGTTTAAGATAGTTCAAAGAAGTACTTTAATGGTCCTCCATATAGGCACAGCCTAAAAAACAAAAATGTTTACTTAAATGTTTTCTTGAATGGCCTGAGGGTACATTTTCATTTTGGGTGAACTATTCCTTTCAACTGTATACTTAGCTGAATTTAAGTTAGTCAAATATCTGATTTATTATGTTTTCATTTTATTTCTGTATTTTCAGACTTATAACCACTGTACTCGAATTTCATCTTCGTTATACAATTATACAACAATCGATTTCTCATTCTCTCATCTACCTGAATCACACGGACTCATTAGGAATACATGAACGACACATGTATCAAAGCATCATGTATGCAAGTGTCTGTACGTGTACTTCTGCCATCAATTACACATGACCAAAAAATATATATAAAACTGTTAAAAGTCCTGCAGTGAAGAACTGCTACCCGCCAATCAGCCTGAGTCAGCTAAGTTAGCAATTGATTAGCCAAAGAAATACAAAGCTGATTTTTTTTAAATGTTCATCCAAGTATGCTCTCGTGCCTTTGGTTCAGTGTTAACTATATAAAAAAATAACCATACATTCACTGCCATCAAGTCATTGCACAGCCATTAGCGCTAACTTTGAACAGTGCTCACTTGTTGCCATGCAGTGACAGTCGCTACAAGGTTATCCCGATTAGCTAAAGTTAGTCATGTAGGAATTATATCGCAGGCTCGCACATTCCAGAATCAAAAACACGCAATTAAGCCATATTTCTACTTTTATTACGAGACCGCAATTTCCATCTACTTACATTGTTTACGTCTGCTGCACAGCCCTCTGAATCCATGTCGTTACTGACGCAGACGTTAAGGCGCATGCGCACTTGTTTGAAATAACCGGAGTTTGAATTAACAGTGAGAGTAAAGAAATATAAACACGTTAGAATGTGTTACTGGTATGTAAAACAGTACCAATAACAAAATGTACTGAGTTATCTTAAGCTAACGGAACTTTCTCTAAGCATTCTGTTCAACAGAAAAACGTTTAAAAAAAAAAAAAAAACCATTGGAGTCAGTTGCGCTTTGCTTTCAGAACAAAAATGACGCTGTTGCTATGGCAACAAGAAAAGCCCGCAGAGTTGCGCGGGATTTGAGACTACGGGAAGTACTCAACTTTATTTATACATTGCCGCAGAGTGTTTTTTCCCCTTTGTTGTTTCTCGACATAACCAGTAAACTAATGGTTCAAGCTGCACTGGATTTATGTGGGAAACGTCATTTGATGTTTGAAACAAACATTATGAATGAGTGCTTTAAAGCTACAATTTAAAAGTCCCAAATTACCTTAAACTCTTTACCAACGATGTTTAAATTTTAAAATGACCGTTAATAAGTTGACTTTCAGTGAAATTATATTATTCCAGTTTTTACATTTTCTTGCATTTTCTTAAGGCTTACATACATTATCTGAAACTATACCTATCTTGCCTATTCTTTTTGAATTTTAATCATTTCCATCAATTGTTTATCAGTAAGATAATTAATTAACATGCAAAAAATAAACCCAGAGCGGGGGAAAGTGTTTACATTAAAGTATATAGCCTGTGTTAGATTTGACAGACGAACGAATATTTTTCACAATATGATATAAACGCACTCGTCTTTTTTTATTTCAATGTAAAGATATTTCTCTCGCACCACGTGGTGCACTTTGAGCGTTCGACGCATATCTGCGCATGCGTGTGAGTGCGCACTGTGTGCGAAGGTGGAGAAGAATCTCGAGAAAACACTACGTTTGGAAGGAATGTTAAACCATTTGGAAGTTACTTAAATATTTTATAATTTAGAATTACTTAGTTTCATATATATATATAAATATATTCGCTGAAATGTCAAGAAAGAACACCATAGGACCAGGTAATTTATTGCTCTGCTTTTTTTTTTAATGTCGTCTACCAAAACTTTGCCTGCTCGCCAAACACATGTAGCTCTAATAACAATAGAGAAGACGTGTCGTTTAACAGTACGTGCTTGAAAATGGTGCAGAATTTGTGAAAGAGTTAGCCATTTCTTGTTATATTCATGCTGTCTTGTGAATCTAGTGTATTTTATTTATTTATTTTTTATTACAAACTAATTTTAGTAGTATACGAAAGATCAGTCATGCTTTGATGACATATTCAGTATTATACCACACAATTCACTATCTGTGTGTCTCCGTCTATGTAAGGTGTGTTCAAACTTTAAAAGATGTTTTTCCAATGACTCTTTTAGAATACTTCCGGCTGCGTGATAATGAGCGCCTCATGCGGACTCACGTAAGTCATTACGTTTCTGTAAATTCATTTATGAGATGAATCAGCATTATTTTTGTTAATCTGGTGTGTGTGTGTGTAGGCTATAGTCTATAACTACTATTTTCTGTGCTTTTTTTTTTTTTTAGGAGGCAGTGGTCGATTTTATAAATGATAGACCTACAAACCACAGCTTTTTAGATGCCTTAAGTTTTGGTTATGGGTTTGGTAAGACATGCTTTATCTTCTTGGCACACGCCCCAGTAGTCATCCATGGTCACTTAATTAAAACCTGTTGTAGAGCAGGTTTAGAATAATTTATAGTTATATATAGTTGGAATTTAAATCTACTCCTAATATTGTGCTTGTTCTAGTGCTCTCAAGCTTTACGTGAACTTGAACTCTGTTTGGTTCAGCAACACAGACTGAAATATTCAAGTCTTAACAGGCTGCATGATTTATAAACTTATTTTCTTTGGATATTGGAGTTCCTATGGTATTAATAAAGTTCTTATAATTCTTAATACATTTAAAGGAATAGTTAACTCAAAACTGAAAAATTGTTTCTTCAGAACAGATTTAGTTAATGCTTGCTTACTCACAATTGGATTCTCTGCAGTGAATGGGTGCCGTCAGAATGTGATGTTGTTATCAGCTGTTTGAATTCTCAAGTAATGCACACGACTTTAGTCCATCAATTAATGTCTTGTGAAGTGAAAAGTTGTTTGTTTGTAATAAATCCATCAAGACATTTTTTTAACTTCAAACCGTTGCTTCCGGCTGAAAAAGAGTCCCATAGTATTGCTTTCTCCAATGAAAAAGTCATCTCTTCTGAATTTGGAGAGAAATATGCACAGATCAAGCGCTGTTTACAAGCAAAAACAGTTCTAGACAAATATGTTGCTGGATTTTGATGTGAGCGTATACATGGATGTTACGTCTACATAAATTATTTTTGAATTTTCTATTAAGCAAACTTGAAGTATAATATAACCATAAAAAAAAAAAAAACATTTTTAAAGATGTGTACTACCATTAAAAAGAAATCAACAGGATATGGAAAATACTTGTGGTGAGAGATTGGGGATGAGCCAAAAAAGAAAAGTAGAAGAATGAGAAATTAGGTCATTGGTTATGAACCGTATAAGAGAGGATCTGCGTTTGAGATTGTTCGAGGTTCTGCAGGCATGCAGTCTTGACCAATTAAGTCTGATTTTTGGCATATAGAACTCCTTGACTTGAGATTTTTGAAAGAAAGAAGATATTCTACAACAAGAGGACAACAGGGGGATGGACTTATTCACTGGAGGATGCCTTATTATGGATTATAGACTCGATTGATTTGTTTCTTTCAAACATGCAGCTTTTGTGTTCACAAGATATTAACTGATGGACTGGAGTCGGTTGGGTTATTGTGATGTTTTTATCAGCTGTTTGGACTCTCATTCTGATGGCACCCATTCACTGCAGAGCAACCATTGCTGAGCAAGTGATGTAATGCAAAATTTCTCCAAATCTGTTATGATGAAGCAAACTCATCTACGTCTTAGATGGACTGAGGGTGAGTAGATTTTCAGCAAATTTTCGTTTTTGGGTGAACTACTCCTTCAAGGTAAAAGATAATAACCGGAGCACAATATAATATTTACTGTTAAGTTTTTGTGATATTTAAGCAAATTGTTTTTGTATTAAAGTTCCAGAATTGGACAGAATTGCAGCTCAGTTTACAGGGTATGAAGGTTCATCTGATGAGAATTATTATTATGATGATGATGATGACGATAGGTATGCCATCCGTACAAACAACAGATACTGTGGCTTTTCTCGCAACTTCCTTGAAAGAAGTCTGCCAAAACCATCCAGACACTTAACAGCTGAGGTTTGTGTCAAACACCTGTGACTCAATCATTATTTTGTTTTGTAAGATTTAAAAAAAAAATAATTTAACTTTTTTATTTTAGGAAGCAGAAAGAAATGCAAAAGAGCTAGTGGATGAAGAAGAAAAACTTAAGAAAAAGGCAGAGAAGAAAAAACAGAAAAGGATGGTGAGGGCATAAATGAAAAAAAGTATTTTTATCTGAAAAACGTAAGTGAATATTTTGTTCAGCTGTGTTTTTCTGAACTACAAATAGAGACAGAAGGAGAGACGTCGGCTGGAAAAATTAGAAAAGGAGAATACAGATAAAGAAAAAAATAACCCGGTGAGAAAAAAGTTATTGTTTGTAAAATGATGTAGTTTGACACATCAGACCTCCATCGTTTTGTGCTTGTCTCACTGAAATGACAGTGAAAAGAAAAAGTGTTTTTTGTTTCTTTCTTTGATTTAAGGTTCAAGTTGACCCTGGACCAGAAAAGACTAAACATGCTGATAAAAATGAAAATAAAATTAAAAACAAAAATTGTTCATCTGTGCCTCCTGATCCTCAATGCGCCTCAGCACCTGTGCAGAGCAGTGATAGCAGTAGTGAAGACAACGGAGACGATGGTGAGGAAGACTCAACTATGGAACCAGAGGTGAGCTGTTTTATAGATAAAGAGCTGTTCGCTGAGTGGAAGATGCTGATTTTCATGGCAGTGCTTTATTCTGTGTCTTAGGAGCTTGACATGAATAGCTGCTTTGTGTCAAACGCAGCTGCTATCGCCAAACGCAAACTAGAACAAAAACCCAAACCTGACAAGAAACATGCTCAAGCAAACTCAAGAAAACAGTGTGGCTCCGAGCAGAAAGACACCACTCCGCCACGAAAACAGGTTGGTAGAGAGACTCATTACTTTCCTCATATGAGACACTGCGTATCCAGAAATCAGGTGTTATACTGCCTAGTGATTCAGTGTTGTGTAATGTTTAATTATCTATAGCTAGTTCAGATGAGCTTCGGAGACAAACGGGTGAATATATAATAACTATAGTGCTTAGTGGAAATAAAATGGTTTTTAACTTGTAATGGAACAACTCATAAATCTGTAATCTATTACGTCAGACAGTATGTCTAATATGATCAACCACAAAATTGTTTACACAGGATTGTGAGGCAGCAAAGGAGATTTTTTTTTTTTTTTTTTTAATAAATTTATGGGTGGAGAGATTATAACATTGTGGATATAGGTGTGATTCATTGTCCTTGACATGCTTTCTTATAAGACTGACCTTGAGCATTTACTGGTTATTAAGGAAACAAGTTAATAGCAATGATTATACATGTATCCGTCTGTCTAATTGCATGCTGCTGAAAGCATGATTATTTTGAGTGCCACCAGTAGATACAAACTAGGAGATAACTATTTCGGGAGTGCTGGGAAATTTCCAAAAAGAAGGAAGAGGAGGGAAAACACCTACAAATAAGATCATTGTTTAAAACCGCATTAAAGTGAGATGGTCAAATGTTCTGCAGGCGTCTCTGCTTTGTTGTAGACAGTCTTCTCTCTTTTTCAAACAAATAAGGGAGTCAGGACGTTCCAGATGCCAAAATCAGAATTTATTGGTCAAGACGACAAAGTATGCCACAGTTAAAAACAGGCCGGAAGATTACTGAAATAGTTGTGATGGGAGTATTGAGGAGATTCCAAAAAGAAAAAGGAGGAAAGCACCAGCAATGTGATAATTGCTTAAGAACGGTATAAAAGTGAGAGTTTCAAGTGAGATTGTAGGATATTCTGCAGGCATCTTGGGTTTGTTATCTGGATCAATAAACTCTGAATTTTGGCACCAACTTCTTGCCTTGAGAGATGTTTTGGAAAGGAGTGAAGACTTTCTACACCACCTCTTTCTTTCTTTTCAGAAAAGTTATTGTTTAAACATTGTGTGCACAGTAAGCAGACAGGTTGCAATAGCACAGATTTTCACAAGCTGATTATGAAATTAAACTTGAATAGAATGAATTTGTTCTTTTCTGAATAATTTACAACTTATGTTAAAACAGTTGTCAACAATGCAGACAATTCCCATGTACATGGAACTTTGCCTTGTTGTGGGTTAGCCTGTTTATTGACGTCATATAATATCAGCATGTATGTCATATCTTGTGCTCACATTGAATTTGGATTGGAAACTTTCCATTCATCAAACAATTAATAGTTGTTAAATAAGAAGTGCATTTTTTCCCACATTAATAATAATATGAAATGTTTCTTTGGAAATTAGCATTTATTTCTGAAGGATCATGTGACACTGAAGGAGTAATGATGCTGGAAACTCAGCTTTGCCATCACAGGAATAAATAACATTTTAAAATAATCAAAGAGAAAGCTGTTTATTTTAAACTGTAATAATATTTCACAATATTATTGTTTTACAGTGTTTTTGATTAAATAAATGTAGCCTTCACTCTTAAAAATAAAGGTGCTTCACGATGCCATAGAAGAACCTTTTTGTCTAAATGGTTCCATAAAGAACCTTTAACATCTGAAGAACCTTTCTGTTTGACAAAAGGTTCTTTGTGGAGAAAGAAGGTTCTTCAGATTATAAAAAGGTAAGAAAGAGATGGTTCTTTAAAGAACCTTTGACTGAATGGTTCTTTGTGGAACCAAAAATGGTTCTTCTATGGCATCGCTGTGGAGAACCTTTATTTTTAAGAGTGTTGGTGAGCATAAGATACACCTTTTAAATCCTTTATACAGCAGTATACATTCTTGCAGAACTATCTTTATGTAACCATAATCCTCTTGAACCATTTTGTGGAAGAAACCAGTTTATGACGTACTCTTTATTTCCATAACATTTCAATTGTCATTCCTGTAGATTGATATCAAGGAGGAGAAGTCCGAGGAGACTGTCAATGCAAATGACTTGATTACGAGAAGCATGGAGTTGGCAGGTGCGACTGGAGTTTTTCTCTAAAAATGGCTTAGTCACGAAACGTCTTCCTAATTCCATCTTCTCTTCTATAGTTATAGGTAACCAGTATGCTGTCTCAGGAAACCTGGAAATGGCTGTGAAATATTTTACAGATGCTATAAAACACAATCCTAAAGAGTATAAGTAGGTGTTGACAGTTTTAATTACAACATAACTTCTAGTTCGATCAAAGGTTGCACATTAATGTGTTTTTGTTTGTCTGTGGTGCAGGTTATTTGGGAATCGTTCTTACTGCTATGAAAAGATGCTGCAGTATGAGAAAGCGTTAAATGATGCTGATATTGCTCTTTCTATGAACCCCAAATGGATTAAAGGTCTTTACAGAAAAGGCAAAGCGCTTGTTGGACTGAAGGTATTACTATAGTGTTTTGCCAGTGTCATCCATCATTTAGAGTACAGGCTCATCCACAAATGCCCCTCTGCTATTTTATTTTCACACAATCTTGTTGTTTCCCTTTATTTGTTAGAGATACTATGAAGCCAGACTTACATATAATGAAGTGTTAAAACTGGACAGCACATGTAAGGACGCAGCTGAGGAGATGATGAGGGTGCAGCTCATGCAGCTTATGGTGAGTAGTGAGAGTAGCTAATGGATCACACTTTGTTTTAGTGCTGATGCTGCTTGAATATTGGCAGCAGCTACATATTGGTTTTATGTTGTCCATTTGTTATAAAAAAAAAAACAGAATGGTAATGTCAAGAGATGCTCGTTTCATCAACAGGAAATGGGATTCACTAAAGAGCAGAGTTCAAATGCCCTTATTCTTCATGGATCTGTAGAAAAAGCCTTAGAAAGTCTCTCTGGTCTGTCAGGTATGATAATACTTGATAAAAACATGTATATATCAGGGACCGAAATTAACTTTTCCGTTAAGGGGCAGTATTTGCCCCCTGGGAGTGAGTTCTTGGTGTATTTTTAACTTTGTAAGGTAATTATAGAAATTGCCCTCTTTAAATGTTTTTTATTTCATATTTTAACAATTTATGTATTAAAGGGATAGTCACCCATTCTATGAGATTCTATCATTAATTACTCACCTTCATGTCATTCCAAACCAGTGAGACCTTTGTTCATCTTCAGAACACAAATTAAGATATTTTTGATGAAATCTGAGAGCTTTCTGATCCTGCATAGACCGCAACAGAACTTGTTGAATGAAGTCGTTATTGTTGTTTTTTGTTTTTACGCACAAAAAGTATTCTCATAGCTTCATAAAATTGAAGGTTGAACCACTGATGTCACATGGACTATTTTAACGATATTCTTACTACCTTTCTGGACCTTGAATGTGGTAGTTGCATTGCTGTCTATGCAGGGTCAGAAAGCTCTCGGATTTCATCAAAAATATCTTAATTTGTGTTCCGAATATGAGCGAAGGCCTTATGGGTTTCACTCAACAGATGTGTATGTGATTGGTTATGATGCTCAACACTGCAAAAAACAATGTGTACAAAGAAATCTTTAATGCAGCATGAGCAGATATAAATGTGATGCTACAATCAACACTTTTTATTCATTTCCACATTTCACTTTAATCATGACAGTAGTAAAATGTTTTAATTTAAATGTGCAGGGGCATGTTTTGTCCACGTATCTTGTTCGTTCCTTCCTAGTCTTTTTTTTTTTTTTTCTTTCTTTTTTTTAAACATCATCAGAAAGATGCTGATTTCCATAAATATGAATATGCATGTGTATATAAATAGTGAGGGGTACAAATACAAGTAATACATTGAGGTTGCATTTAACTAACTCTCGTTCTATGCAGGTTTAAGCCCTGTCCTAGTGCCCGGAGAGCGCAAGTTTATGTCCGTAAAGCAAAACCCACAACCTCCAGCTAAATTCCTCCTCGGACCTCTTCCTCAGAATCAGCCTAGACACAGTTTGCCAACCGCTTCTCCAGTTCGTCATCATCCTCCGTAAGACACACACATACAGGCATTTGTGCTACAACCTTTCACCTCAAAATCGCCTGAATCTGGCTGTCTTTCATCCCTAAACAGACAGCTATTCCCCATCTGGGTCGGAGATCTGGTGCATTCTATAACCGAGCCAAAGCTTTATGACTTATTCAGATCGTAAGTGACCTTATTTGTTTTGCAAACATCTTTTAACCAGTAAAATGCTTTATTCAGCATTGATGTGATGGAGCACATTTTAAGTTGTATAAATTTATCTTTATGAAACAGTGTTGGGCATGTACATAGTGTAAGAGTGTTACCAATGAGACACTGTGCATTTGTTAACTACACCAAGAAGGAGGACTGTGAGAAAGCCATAGAAGATTTCCATGTGAGTATGTTTGTTTTGTTCAGTGGAATGTAAGATATGCAAATGACCATAGAGCTGCTTATAATATTTCTAACCCTTCTCCGGTGATATCAGTGGTTGGGGTTTGTCCCTCGTTTCCACTGAAATGAAGATCTTGCATCAATTTTGTCCTTTCAGTGAGGGGAAAAATAAGTCTGTATGTTTGTTTTTGTTATTTGCAGGATTATGCCATTGATGGGACAACTCTAGTGGTGCGTTATCCAGATAGGATTCACGCACGTCTTGGAGTGTCCAGAGATGCATCTACAGAGTCCTCGGGGAAGAATGGGTGAGTGAACATGTTGTTTCTGCATGTTTTTTTTTTTTTTATGTTGCACATGAGTGATAGAACTGTGTTTAGGTTTTTGATTTAAGCTGTATGATCAGAACTTTAAAGGAATAGTTCACCCCAAAATGGAAATTAGCTGAAAATGTACTTATCCTCAGGCCATCCAAGATGTAGATGTGTTTGTTTCTTCATTGGAGCAGATTTTTACTTGTTTTTTTTTTTTTTTACTTATAGGGTTACATTTCACTCAGTAAAAATCAGTAATCACTTGCTCGCCTCTGCAGTGAATGGGTGCCGTCAGAATGAGAGTCCAAATAGCTGATTAAAAACATCACAGTAATCCACATGATTCCAGTGGAACAGGAAATGCTATATATACTGCTCATGTACTCCCATTCACAAAGCAGATAGTTGCTTTACAATTACTTAAATACTTTACACCACTGTGGATTATTGTGATGGTTTTATCAGCTGTGTGGACTCTCATTCTGATGGCACCCATTCACTCCATTGGTGAGCAATGTTCTATTGGTGATGATAATGCTTAATTTCTTTAAATCTTTGCCAACAAACTAGGGCTGTCGCGATTAGTCGATTTTATTCGACTATTCGATTTTTAAAAATCCTCGACTTCATTTTGCTCGCTTCGACTAACCGGCAAAATACCGGAAGTGGTGCATTTCACAGACGAGAATGTCTAAAACACATTATTAGTCTGTCCTAAAGAAATGGCCAGATATGAAAGATTAAGTGGACATTTGAATTAAATGGTGCTTGGTCAATATTAAACAAGGATTAGATCGCACAGTAATGTGTAAAAACAATTGTCAGGCCGTTGGCACCCTCTGCAGGCTTTTGTTGTAATGCGTACTGTACATTAGCTCTATTGTTTATAATGCATTGTATTTGAACAATTTTGTTCAATAAAACCATATGATTTCTTGCTTTTGATACTTTATTTGAACTAATTATTATTGCCTCATTGCTATTTTATATGTATTTTAAGTCATTTTAAAGGCTATTGTTCACTTGCATCTTTTTTTATTACCACAAAACAATTTATTATAATTATAGGGCACTATGAAATTCGTTTTTATTTCCAAATTCAGTTTTTCCCATTTTTCTATACTCCGTTTTAATGGTTAAATGAAATTTTATTAATCAAAAAGCCTGTCTAATTAATTTAGTTTTACAGTTTTATCTTTACCAAATTCTGTTTTCCATTATTTTCCTTTTTCCTTTTTAATGGTTCCATTACATTTTAATAATCAAAAGCATCTCCAATTAATTGATTTAAAAAAAAAAAAAAAAAGAAAAAACGTTTTTTTGTTTTTTTTTCAGAAATACTGCACATTTAAGCTTTTCTCCTAAAATAAATTCTGGTAAATAATATTTCTGGTAAATATTCCTTTAAAAAGTGTTTTTTGATTTTTGACTAGAACTAGATATGTCGTCATTCTTACACTATGATACTGAACTTTGATTTCAGTGATTTGTACTATGAGATGGACACTTGCTTCTTGCACTGTTGCACTTTTACCTTTTTACTTTTGGATTTCATTTGGTTTAATGAAATATAGTTTAATTTTAAATCTGTTGTTTACACATTTCTGAGAGTACTTTTAATACTTAAAAGTTTTAATAATAATTTTAATCATAAAATTTTAATACTTGATTCTAGTGGACTCTAAACATTGCATTTATTTAATGTGAAAACCCAACTGTTGGGGTTAATTGAAACATATTTTTTCCTCTTTGTAGTTGCACTCACAGCTGTAATGAACAGAAGCCCAAAACATGTGGATATATTGACATTAAGAACATGCTGACTTTCTCAGACTTTTGTGATTATTTTCTTTTTATTTCATTTTTATTAGATCTGTTTACATTTTTACTCTTTTAGTTTTACATTTCGTCAATGGCTTGTTTACATTTATACTTTTTTTATGGTATACTACTGAATGGCAAAGTTGCAAGTTTAATAAAATGTTCTTTAAAATTGTAGATTTTTTTGTGTGGGAAATTAATCGTTTAGATTAATCGATTAATCAATAAATTAGTCGATAGATTAATCGAAATAAAAATAGTCGTTAGTGGCAGCCCTACAACAAACTCATCTACATCTAGGATGGCCTGAAGATGAGTACATTTTCAGCAAATAGATTTATATGTTTTTTTAATTACATTTCTAAATTTGAAGACCTATTTCTCAAATGAAAAGTGTGAAATAGATATGACAGTAATTTTATAATAATATTATTGTGTAACTCTATGTTTTTGTTTTAATGGTAATTGTGTATTTTTATTTTTTTTGTCTGTGCTTTTTTTTCCCTCAGCAAACAGCCTGATGAATGTTATTTTTGGAGGACAAATGGCTGCATTAAGAATGGCTGCACTTACAAGCATATACCAGAAAACAAAGGTATTGACCGAAATCAAGCCAAATCACACCCCTGATTCCCAGCACACCGACAGGGATTTAACCATCTCAATCACTGTAATTAGTTGGATACAGTAAAAATTCACATGGATAAAACGTCAGCGTGGGGCTTTGGTGTTTGTTTGGTCATTCTTCTGAATATTGTTTTATTTCTGTCTTAATATCAGTCTGTACACAAAGTTGAAGACAGTTTTAATTTTAATTTAATTAATTTTTAATTTTAATTTTTTTAATTTTAATCAATTTATTCTTTTTATTTTTTTTTATTTATTTTTTTTTTTGCCCCACAGAATAATACATTCCTTCTTACAAAGTCAGTTATTGGTTTTAATGTTTTTCAAGACGGTGACGGTGAAGTTTTATATTAAGGCTGTCAAAAGTTTATTGTATGGTCACTGCAAATTTTTTTTTACAGCTATTGGGAAAAAAATATTTGCCTTCTGACCCTATCTGAGGGTTTTAAACCATAAGTATTGTTGCATTGAGAGGTTTTATTTGGACTTCTTATCTGCAGGTTGTAACCTGCTTCTGTAAAAGCTGAAATGTCACAAGTTAAAATAATTAAATTTGTCAATACTCCTGATGTACTCTGCCACTTCTGCTGTAGAGATGATCTGCAGTAGATAAGGAAAAAAAGTCCATGTAGTTGTAATTGATATATCTGTAAAGCAATGCAAAATGACTCTGATACAATAAAAGGTGTCCTAAAAAATGGGGGGAAATCTTTGAATTTTAATTTTTTTTACCTGTGTCATTATTTAAACGTTTATAATATGTAACCTAATATCCTGGCTTGTTTTTCACCAAAAAAAAAAGTTCTCATTACTTCATTAAATAGTTTATAAAAACAAAAATTTATCAGGATGAATTAGACCCCTGAAACCCTTGTAATTAAAAGAGGAAATCTTACCGATGAACGACGAGAAGTCGAACATCAAAACAGTAAAAGATGTAAAGTATTGGTGCATAACTAATTAGTGTTAATGAGTGGGCCAATCTGAGTATACTGGCTGTGCTATAAATGGATATTGATGCACATCATTTCTGTTCATGGGTCTCCCAATGAGTTCATCATGACTAAGATAAAACTAAATAAGTTATAAAAAAAGCCATTCACATTGTTAAACACAGATTAATAGTATTTTACAATAGATGTACCTTTTACATTTTTCACAGCCTTATGTCATTTGTTATTCAAATTGGAGGAATTTGTGACATGGCATTCGTGAATTAAGAATTTGCCATTCACAATTATGAAGTTTACAAAACTGTCAGTGGTTTTAGTCTTCATGCTTGTAAATTTTTTGCAACAAAAAAGGTATTTTTCAAAAGAAAACAAAAGCAGCATTCTTTTCCCATTTCAAAAGCTTAAGTAAAATAATGTATTTGAACAAATTCAACAAATCTAATCCACATCATCTGAAAGTAGGAAACACGGTGCCAGCGTCTACGGTGCTTGAGTTCACTTCTCCGTTTTAAACTCCGCAAGCGGCAAATGTCATTCACACATTTTGAATTGCTTCATGTGATCCTGTCTGCTGGTTAATCAATAAATACAATTTACTTTATGGCATTTGTCCTTTTGACATTATATTGAAAAGAGTAAACATCTTAATACACCCCACACTTTAATTCTTATGTAATGTTTAGTGAGGAAAAAATATGTGATATTGCTGAAATAGGACCTAAATAGAGCATCCCAGATGTATATGACTTTCTTTCTTCAGATGAACACCAACAAAGATTATTAGAAAAAGAATCCATCTCTGAGTCCATATAATGCAAGTTGACAGTCATCCAATAGTCTTCAAAAACCCACAAAGCAATCACAACTGTAATCCATACAACCCCAGTGAATGAATCGATGTCTTCTGAAGTGAAATGATATATATATATATATATATATATATGTGTGTGTGTGTGTGTGTGTGTGTGTGAGAAAAATACTAATATTTTAAACTAGGGATGCACCGATACCACTTTTTCCAGTACTCGCCCAATACCGATACTTTTATTTTTGGTACTTGCCGATACCGAGTACCGATACTGATATTTTTATTGCATTTGTAAATTTTTTAAATATTGGGTACAGAAACCAAAAGGGTATGTATAATGTTAGTTGGTTAACTTCATTTATCAAATAGATACAGTCAAACCTAAATTTATTCAGACACCTTCAACATTTCTCACATTATCACAGTTTATTCGCTATAGTTTAGAAAATGGTAATAAAATATGACAAGAACTCCGAGTTAAACTGTGTCAGAACAAATTCAGCTTGATAATGCTAGATAACTTTGATAGAAAGGTATGTAATAGATTACAATCAACCAAAATAATTCAGACAGCTGTATGACAGTATTTACACAACTATGAATACTTAGTCGGGCAACCCTTAGCCTTAATGACAGCCTGTAGTCTCCTGGGCATGCTGTCATCCAGCTTCATGCAAACCTCAACTTCAATTTGTTTTTCCCAGACTCGGTCTGAATAATTTTTGGTACCAAATTTGTATCAATTTTAGAGGAAAATCTGAAACATTAATATAGGTAATCCATCTCAGCCTTGCAGGGGATTTCCTGGAGTGGCTAAAACAAAACAACAGAGATTAAAAAGCAGCTTCTGAGTTCTAGCTGTATAAAGTCAATAAATGCAAAGGCCATGTTGCACAACTACACTCAAATGAAATGAAAGTAGGAAGAATTTACGTTCACACCCAACTGTTCTTTGTTTAATGTAGTCAGTTTATACTAGAGCTGTGTTTATTTTTATCTATTCAGAAATGTTCATAGCTCTGTAGATATGTGCACCTGGAACATGAGCATGTTTAGAGTCTTGGTATCTGCAGCAGCTCTTCTTACATCTGAAGGTGAGGATCACATACTTGTTTACATTATGTGTTTTTGACTTGTGTACGTGCTTTAACAATCCTATCTGAATGGCTACTGTTTCTTTTCTTTTTTTAAGGGCTCTTGGTTCAAGGACCTGCTCAGCCTCTGGTGGTACAGCTGGGGGTTCCATCATACTGCCCTGCTCTGTGGAAACCCCATTACCTGTGGAGGGAGCTGGAGGTCGAATGAGAAGAGGACTGATGAAGAGGCATTAGTGCACTTGTTTCAGGATGGACAGGACAGACCTGAGGCTCAGTCTCAGTCTTACAGGGATAGAGCACTTTTTTTTCTGAGCAGATCTTTAAAGGAAACTTCTCAATCCTGTTGGAAAATATAACAGTTGCAGACACTGGTCTCTACAGATGTGTAGTTTGCTCTTACCAGGATGTTGGAGAGATCTCGGTTACAATTCAACATGTGGGTAAGTGTTTATCTCATTGCAAATAATCTTTAAACACTTTTTTACTTGTTTTCCTGCTTGATTTTTTCCTGCTTTTGTTTGTAACAGAGCGTGTAGTTGTGACAGGAGAAGATCAAATTGTATTTGCACGTGTTGGTGAGGATGTTGTTCTAAACTGCATGGTGGACTCCCATATCCCTCCTCAATGCTTTGACGAGGTCTCATGGAAGAAGGTGGACAAAAGTCCAGACATTGTCCCTGTGTTGCTTTTCCAGAATGGGACGATATTTCCAGGATCGTCTCACAAGCGTTACAGAGACAGAGCAGAGTTCTTCAGAGAAGAAATTCCCAAAGGCAACTTCTCAATAAGACTAAAAAATGTCCAGACTGCTGACAAGGTAAAAAATGTCCAGACTGCTGACAAGGGAGAATACATGTGTGAAGTCCACACAGAGAAATCAGTGAACTCTGCAACTGTAGAAATTCAGCGGTTGGGTAAGTCATCTGAGACATACACTGTAACCTCTTTTTTGTTTGTTTTTTTCTAATAAATCAATACTTTTATTTAGCAAGGATGCAGTAAGTTGTTTAAAAGTGACAGTAAAGACATCTAAATTATTTTGATTACAAATAATTATTTTTGTTTCTACAAAAATACTAAGCAGCACAACAGTGTTGCTATTGTTGACAAAAACTAATAAAAATACTTTTCAGTTATTGAAATAAAGCTAAAATAAAATAGAGATATTAGATGGAAAACTCAAAACACAAATGAAAAGTAAAAATGTTGCATTGACAATCTACAAAAAATAAGCAACATAAAATAATTACTAGAACTGAAATAAAGCTATAAACATGTTTTTAAACAAAGACTAATAGACAAAAGCACATAACAAAATTACTAAAACAAACTAAAATGAAATCTGAAATGTATAAATAAGATAATAAGAAATGTTTCTCGAGCAGCAAATCAGCATATTAGAATGATTTCTGAAGCATCATGTGACACTGAAGACTGGAGTAATGATGCTGAAAATTCAACTTTGCATCACAAATGACATTTTGAAATATATTAAAACAGCAAACCATTACTTTAAGAATATTTCACAATATTACTGTTTTTAGTGCATTCTGTAGCCTTTACTGTATAAATACAATCTTGGTACAGCAGAAGACACTTCAAAAACATTAAAAAATATATCTTACTGGCCACAAACTTTTGAGACATAGTGTAGATATGTATATAATTTATAAATCAATTTATGTATTTGCTTTGTGGAAACAATGATTTAGTTTTTATCAAATGCTGTAATAAATACATTTGTCTCAAATGGTTCTTTTTAACAGCTTGATCTAATGTCAGTCAAATCATTCTGTGTCTCTCATGTAGGGATGTCTGCTCTGCACATCATCATACTGATGCTTTGCTTTACTTCCCTCTTGTTGACTTTTATATTAAGTATTCCAGTCACAATCTATATAAGCAGAAAAGGTAGGCTAGGAGTTATGGAAGTATGCTGTTAAGAGTTATATTTTTTATGTATTCCAAATGTAAAGTAATAGGATGTTTAATTGCTGTTCTTTTATTCTCAGACACCATGTATCTGATTGCACAGTGTTTATGTTCTTCTGCAGATACTGGCACAAAACCCATGTACATAAATTATCTGCAGGCAGTCTGTCCCAACATCTGTTTGTCTATTGCATTTGTTCTGTGGGGTGTAATTGAAGGTAAGTGACTTGAACATTCCTAAGTCTGCATGTATCATCAGTTTTTTTTTTTTTATCATCTTATAAGCCCGTTGATGTCTTGAGAGTGTTTTTTTTTCACTGCTTTGTTCAGGGTTCGTTGTTGAGGTAACAATGTGTGCAATAATCTGACGAGGATCATTTTATTATTTCTTATGGCCCCATATTTTAATTGGAACACAACAGTTTCTGGTATGTACACTTAATACATTTTATAACTATTATTTTATAATTGCGTATTATTAAGTGCTTTAAGGTATTGTGATAAATGCAAATATGAAATCTGAAAAGCTGACAATGTGTCATAAGGGTCAATTTTTCGAAATTGAGATTTATACATCATCTGAAAGCTGAATAAATAAGCTTTGCATTGATGTATGGTTTGTTAGGATAGGAGAATATTTGTCCGAGATACAACTATTTGAAAATCTGGAATCTGAAGGTGCAAAAAAAATCAAAATACTGATAAAATCGCCAAAAGTTGTCCAAATGAAGTTCTTAGCAATGCATATTACTAATCAAAAATTAAGTTTTAATATATTTACAGTAAGAAATTTACAAAATATCTTCATGGAACATGATCTTTACTTAATATCCTAATGATTTTTGGCATAAAAGAAAAATCAATCATTTTGACCCATACAATGTATTTTTGGCTATTGCTACAAATATACCCCAGTGACTTAAGACTGGTTTTGTGGTCCAGGGTCACTTATATTACAATGGCTCGTAACAGACAAGTTAGAATCCGAGACAAATAGGCGACGGTTAGGTAAATGGAGAACAGCAAATCAGAAATGCAAGACACAGATACAATTAGACTCCAATACACTCTAAACACAATAATTCACCAATCTCTATGATACGAAACTCTACATGAAACGAACGAATCGACGAATACATTAACACAAAGGTAATGAGTTAACAAACCAACGCAAATTGACAGGAAGAACAAATTTGGCAAATGGTACAAAGATGGCCAAGGTTGAGAGTTTGGGACATTACTTATAACTGGCCGGGTCAGGTGAGAGAGTGGACCAGTAGCCGCCTCCAATGAATAAGAACATGCCCACATGTAACACAACATGCACATTCACAGATACAATATACACACAAGAGGGCAGTATTACGGTAGAATATTTGTAGTATAACATGAATGAACATATGAAATCAACTTGTAACAGTTTATTTGTCATCTTCCCTGTTGGCAATGAGGGAACTTTTGTTATTAAATCAGAAAAAAGACCAGGACAAAAAGAGAATTACAATAATACAACAATGCTCCAAAACAAATTTTTAAGGAAGTTGTTTGGGAGACATTAAAGCTTTTCACAGTGTGTTTACTGAGAACAATTTTACCAAGTTCTTCTTTGTTTCACTCTGTGTGTTAAACAATTTAAACATCTTTTTATAGAAACATTTTGGCTTTAACATTTTGGATTTCTCTCTGTCTTTTTCCCAGATTTAGTTTGGGCATACATTATGCTTGTTACACTCATCTGGCACAGTGCATTTATTTTATATTACCTTAACAAGATTCTGGAGTATACTAATGGTAAGCTGGTATCAAATGTCAGCAAACTCAGTTGCCCTGTTTATTCTCAAAGAAAAAAAGTGATTGGCATGCTGTAACATTTATGTAATTGATTTTTTTTTCAGCCTTCACTTAATTTCAGATTATTTATGGTTTTGATTGTATAGTATGGGTTACCAGGCATTCTAACCTGAGTATTTAAATGTCTTTGATCACAGAGCGTTTTGGATGGATTTTCGTCACAGTTCTTCTCCATGTCTTGACTGCAACTGTTTCTGAGCGATTTTCCAGAAGAGTTCCTGGTAACAAAATACACTGAAAGTAAAAAAAAAAAAAAAAAAAAACATTCTGCCAAAATAATTTATAATAGATTTAATATAGGCCTAACAGGGCTAAATATGAATGTATATGCTTAAAAACCTATTTATTTATTTAATTGTTTGGTCATTTGTCAAAAATCTAAGTATATATATATATATATATATATTTGTTTTGCAGATGCCGTGTACAATACTTTCTTCATGTTTGGGGGATCCAGTGATCAACTCTGTTTCTCTTGCAACAGAATTAATACTGCGTGTGTATATACTAAAGTGTGTAGGTGTCAATGCCTAAACAAAATGTCTGATTTGGAGAGGTCATTTGTTCTATTTTTATTTATTTATTTACTAATAATTTCTTCTCTTCTATCCTTCTGTTTATAAGACAAGGGGGAGAGAACAGTGGATGATCTGCGTGTATTAGTGCTGCCATTTTTTTAAGCAAAATGCACTTAATTTAGTTTTTTTCCCCTGGAAACAAGACTAAATATCTTAAATCACTTGGCTTATGTAGTAAAAGTATCTTGATTTAAGAATTTTTAGATATTTTGACTAGAAGCAAGACAAAAATACTAAGATGAGCCATTTTTTGCAGTGTTTAAAAAAAAAAAAAAAATGTTTGTAAACATGCAAAATGTCTCTATATTAAAGATGTATCAGTCTGCCCTACCTCCTGATATGCTACTCCAGCTAAAAAAGAAACACAAAACCAATCGGCAGCATCATGACACTGCTGAGCTGTTGATTGGCTGAGGATCTGTGTGTGTGTGTGAAGAGAGTGCACTGTATGTGTGTCCTGTATAAAGCACACTGCTCTGCAGCATTTCTGAACTGGTGCAGTGCCGGTTCATCTCCACAAATGGTGTGCAGAACAAGGGGGACTTAAAGAGAAAAACTTCTCCAACCAACAAAACATCAACATCATTTGAAAACCAAACAAAAACCAACAACAAAAAAATCCTGCATCATGAGCTTTGACCCTTTCATCTCCTCCTCCCTCTCCCAGCGATGGGAAGATTCCCCCTCCAGCAGAACCACCTACCGGCTCTCCCGAGGGCCCCTGTCGTCCTCCAGGTGGTCGACGCGTTTGGAGCCGCTGCAGCGCTGGGAGCAGAGCGACCTGAGTCAGGCGAGCATAGAGAATGCAGAGCTGCTGGAGCTGCGGGCCCAAGAGCGAGAGCAGCTGGTGGGTCTGAACAACCGCTTCGCATCCTACATCGAGAAGGTGCGACACCTTGAGCAACAAAACCGGGTGCTGCTCCTACAGCTGGAGGGCCTGCGGCGCAGGCAGAGTCAGCCGTCCCGTGTGCAGCAGCTCTGCCTCCAGGAGGTACGGGGCCTCAGGGAGCAGCTGCACCAAGAGGCCCAGAATAAAGCACGCATGGAGGCGCAGAGGGAGAAATTGCGGGAGGCTTATGCACAGCTGCACGAGCGCTGGGAGGAAGAGGCGCGGCAGCGTAGCCGGACAGAGGCAGAGGTGCAGAGGTTGCGGGAGGAGGCGGGTCAGATCGCTCTGTGCAGCTGTGATGCCGAGGCCAGCGTGGTCTCCTTGGCGCAGGAGTTGGCCTTCTTGAAGCAAGTGTTTGCAGAGGAGCAGGAGGGGTTGAGGGTCCAGCTACAGGTTGCCAGCCTCAGCGTGGAGCTGGACACAAGTAGACCGGACCTGTCGGCCGCTCTGAGAGAGATCCGAGCGCAGTATGAGAGCCTGGCTGGACGCAACATGCAGACCGCCGAAGCCTGGTTCCGGGGGAAGGTGGCGAGCGTAGTGGAGCTGACAGATAAGCAGGAGGAGGCTGTGCACTTGGTACGTGAGAATACCGCTGAGTATCGACGGCTGCTGCAGTCACGTTTGGCTGAGGTCGAGGCACTGAGGAATGTCATCGATTCTCTGAATGCACAACTAGGGGAGCTAGAGGAGACGCAGGACACTGAGGTCACCAAGTACCAGGTATAGATCACCAGCAGCAATCAATCCAAGTATAATTGCACCACGTACGCAATACGACCACACAAATGTCTCAGTGGAGACACTCTTAGAAGTGAGGCCATTATGCTATTGACTGCAGAAACATTCTGTATAAAAGAGAAGATTAATGAAATGGAACATAACCAGAACAATCTTTATTTGTGTTGATGCGCAGAGGGAGAAATTGCGGGAGGCGCATGCACAGCTGCATGAGCGCTGGGAGGAAGAGGCGCGGCGGCGTAGCCGGACAGAGGCAGAGGTGCAGAGGTTGCGGGAGGAGGCGGGTCAGATCGCTCTGTGCAGCTGTGATGCCGAGGCCAGCGTGGTCTCCTTGGCGCAGGAGTTGGCCTTCTTGAAGCAAGTGTTTGCAGAGGAGCAGGAGGGGTTGAGGGTCCAGCTACAGGTTGCCAGCCTCAGCGTGGAGCTGGACACAAGTAGACCGGACCTGTCGGCCGCTCTGAGAGAGATCCGAGCGCAGTATGAGAGCCTGGCTGGACGCAACATGCAGACCGCCGAAGCCTGGTTCCGGGGGAAGGTGGCGAGCGTAGTGGAGCTGACAGATAAGCAGGAGGAGGCTGTGCACTTGGTACGTGAGAATACCGCTGAGTATCGACGGCTGCTGCAGTCACGTTTGGCTGAGGTCGAGGCACTGAGGAATGTCATCGATTCTCTGAATGCACAACTAGGGGAGCTAGAGGAGACGCAGGACACTGAGGTCACCAAGTACCAGGTATAGATCACCAGCAGCAATCAATCCAAGTATAATTGCACCACGTACGCAATACGACCACACAAATGTCTCAGTGGAGACACTCTTAGAAGTGAGGCCATTATGCTATTGACTGCAGAAACATTCTGTATAAAAGAGAAGAATAATGAAAGGGAAAATAACCGGAACAATCTTTATTTGTGTCGATGGGCATAATACACTCATAAAATGTCCAAAAATCGTACCTTTATGGGTACAACAGCTTGTCACTGGGGCAGTAGTCTTAAGCAAACAACGTTGTACCTTATCTACCCCTAAATTGTGCATAATTGTACCTAAGAGTAGTAATATGTAAAGTACAACTGTCAACCTATTAGGGGTAGATGAGGTACAAAAATAGGAACTGCCACAGTGACGAGCTGGTGTTAGCCCCCAAAGGTACAATACTCTGACTTTTCTCAGCTTCAAGTCTTTGTGTTTCCTTATTTGTTGAGGACAAAGACTTGACACAAAGACTGTAAATTTGCTTTTACCATGACAAGTCAGTGTGCTGACCTTTACTGTTCTAGAGTCTCAGCATTGATGGAAAAATATCTCTGCTGTGCTTTTGGCATTGTAAGGTCCAAGTGATACCAAAGTTGCAGAAATGTTACTGATGCTGACTCATTCCATCAGTGCCGAGTCATGACTGACAAACTGAGTAGGACAGATGAGACTGACTCTAGAGGGAAAGGTAGTGCTGACTAAAATCTTTACGATCTATGAAGTTCTGCTCTACTACTCTGTATCTCTGGCACAAAAACAGTGTGTAGGAACGCTGAAGCATATCAGCATTAATTTATGCTTTGAAATTTTCTTTGAACAACTTCTAGGAGAGGATAAGTGACCTAGAGAGGGACATTGCTGATGCGAAAGAGGAAATGTCACGCTATTTGCGGGAGTATCAAGATCTGCTTAACGTGAAGATGGCTTTGGATGTTGAGATTGCAGCTTACAGGTAATATACTTGACAGTATGACACTTGCAGTTTCTTTAATCAATTTAACTTAAAACCATTCTTGTGCATTCAAGAAGAATCACTTTGATTTTAGATCACAAATGAGTATTGATTTGATGTGTTTTGTTTTGAACTTAACTTCATTTTTGTCTTTACAGGAAACTCCTGGAGGGAGAAGAAATTCGATTTACGTATTCCACCCTACCAGCCCTGACCTAAACCCCTAAAACACAAAACCCTAGTAACTCCCATTCATCATATTCATATTTTGAATACTGTTGAGTCAGACCCACATTAACATCCTAAAATACTAACAAATACATCACCTTCCCAAACACTGAGATGCACATAAATCTACTTTTTTCCCCCAAAAAAACCCTACTAAACTGGACCCACCATTTAAGACCCTCGTCGCCAAATCCATATCCATAGCCTTTACATTTACTTTCGATCCTAGTTCTTTAGTTAATTACACCCAAATTCCACCATCTAACCATGAAACTAAACCGCAGCATGTCATCGCTTTAAAGTCAGACGAGCCCTTGTGTCACACAAGAGGTACACATAATGAGGTCCCCCTTCTTCTTTACACTTGAAAATGGACAAATGACCGCCTTGGAGACATCGCTAAGGGCAGCACTCACTCAGCCAGAGCTCAGTGTCATGTTGGCAGATTCTAATGGAGGACCTTAGATGGTTTAACTTAAAGAATACTATATTGTTCTGCAAATAATAGTTTTCACTAAATTGTCATTTTTATGTTTCCCAGCACCCATTGAAAAATCAGATTAGCCAATGATCCCTTATATGCAAACTTTTAACCAATTGTTTGTTGAGGTGAATCGTTGTTCAGTCTCAACTCACTTTGGGTGCTAGAAATGGACTAAAGCCAATTTGTTAATTCGACATTAGACCAAGAATCAGTCAACAGGACACTGTCCACCATCCCTGGCTCTTTAGATTACATGTAGTTAGTGCAACAGTTAAGTTTTAGCTGTTTGTTAAGTTAGAATGTGTTCATTTTAGTAAATGTTGTAGTAATATTTCATTTACTATATGTCTGTGTTCCGCTTCTCATATGTTTGTTTGGTTGAGAATATTTGATTCTTTTGCTTTAGCATTTACAGTGTTTGACTTGATAAAAGCATGACTGAAAATCAAGAGTAGAAATAAAAGCTCTAGAACTGGAGTTTTCAGACTTGTGGTTAAAATACAACTGTCATGCTTTCATCTGCTTTTGTTGTGTCATCTAAGTTAAAATGTATGTCAATTATCAGTAATTTGGAAATGAACAAGAAACCGAGGCTGTTTATCATGACAGTCTCTGAACTGAATGGTGCCGTATGTTTGCACCTAAAATACATGCTGAATAAAGCAACAGTACCGCTTCTGGAGCACATCTCTGGTGTGTGTTTGTGTGCCTGTGTGCAAGACATGCAGTGAGGTCCAGATATCCAAAAATTGCCCATTAAAACATCTTTGGAACATTTTCACATTAAGATGGAAAAAATGGATAAGCAGGTTTATGATGAATGACTCAAACCTGATTCTATTAACAATAACAGTGTTACAGACTCTTTTGAGTTGGTTCTTTTTAGCGAACAAAACCCTCATGAATCAGTCAGACACATTAATGATTCAGTCTGAGTTACTTACTGAACTTACATTTTGTCATGTCCAATTCGGAAAAAAATTAATAAAACAAATTAATGAATAACTACGAATTGTTGTCCCTGTGAAGCCCATTTCAGCCACACACACACATTTATATATATACAGTGTATATATATATATGTATATATATATATATAAACATTATTTGGTAACTTAAAAGTGTAAATTGTGACATACAAATCATAATTATGACAGTGTTTTTATTTATTTATATATTTCCATGTCTTAATTGTCAGTTTGTTGTAATTTTGACTCTTTATGTCATAATTAACTGTTTTAATATGACGTAACCAAAGTGGTCGACTTTTAATGTCATAGTTTTTGGTTTTTATGTCATAATAATGATCATCATTTTGACTTTTTATGTCATAATTATAATTGACCTAAGCTTTTTTTCTTCTTATGTGGCAGAAATGTGCTTCCACAGAGACAACAACCATGTATACTGGCTGTTCATATGACTGGCTTTTTATGTAAATATATTATATTATGCATTTTTGTCAGCGCTGTTTAATCAAAAAGGAATACGTTACCAAATTGTTGTTTGTTTAGTATTTTTAACCAACGGATGCTTACCTTATTACCTCGGTTATGCCGCCTCTAGGCCGCTTTTTAGAACATTTTTTCAAATATTTCTTCCGACGCAGGCTAGAACGGTTAATGGAACCGTTAAGGAGCCGAAATCGTTCAAATAAATCATAATCACAACAGAATCGTTAATTTCCTAATTCCCATCCCTTGTTCGCAGTTCTGCTTCCTTCCAGCGCGCGGCAGTAGAGAGCGCTTTGCGTTCAGCTCCACAACAGAATCGTTAATTTCCTAATTCCCATCCCTTGTTCGCAGGTCTGCTTCCTTCCAGCGCGCGGCAGTAGAGAGCGCTTTGCGTTCAGCTCAGCCTTGACTGTGGATCGAGTAAAACAAACATCTTCCGTGGTTAAAGTTCAAGAACATGGCGGCCTAGTGAAGATGCTCGATGTTATGTAGCCATGCTGGAATCTGTTACTATATAATACTATACTATATTCCTTAATTCCTTTAGGGGTTGACTGTATGTTCTGCATAGACGCGTAAGGTTAATCATAATAAGATTTAATCTTCAACATGTTGCGGGCTTTATCGAGGTGTCATACTCCTGTCGTCCGTCTTCTCTCTCCTCGTACTGCTGTTTTGGTCGAAACTGTCAGGGGAAGAAAATCTCGCACAGACCCCATAGCGAAGTCAAAACTGGGACGGATCAAGACTCCCCCTCCCGTAGATCCAGTAGAAATGGTTGTACTAAAGGAGCGTTACACTGAATACAATCTGATCTTAAGAGCCCTGCGGTAAGACTACATGACATTAAACCATTTCCTGACTGATTATGATGTCTAGTCACCAGTGAATACATCTGGTTTTCTGATTACCAAGCTCACACTATTTATTATCACAGTTGAGACTTAAGCCAGTTGAGTTTGAGACTGACATAATCTCAGCTGACATCTGAACATTTTATGCATGTAGACTTGAGTTCAAGGAGCAGATGTTGAGGAAGAAATATGAAGAGGAGGTTGGTTCCGTGGCAGAGGAGAGAACTAAAAGGGAGGCAGAAGAGCATCGGTCACTGATGGCCTTGAATGATGCTGAAAACCTCAGAATGCGTAAAATAAGGTGAGTCATTTAGAGGTGAGATACTTGAGGGGCATTTTGTAAGAAGGTTCTAGCTGCATCCAAAATAGTGAGCTGAAAACACTATGTGAACAGAGTAGTATGTCTGAATTCACAGTATTCATAAAACGGTAGACAAAAAGTCCTTGGATGACCTACAATATCTGGCGAGAACGGGCACTTGATTATCCCATGAGGCTGCAAAAGATTTGTGCATGGCAGTTAAAGGGATAGTTCACCCATACATGAAAATTTGCAGTTAATTTACTCCCCCTTTAGGGGCTCCGATGACATTCCCTAATTGGCTTTTTTGTTTTAGGGGGTGTAACTTGTAGTGATGTGATTTATGGTGGTGAGGGATGCAGTCAGATATACTTGCTTTTCGTTGCTGTTTGAAATTAATGTGTACCATCTGGTCTTCAAGAGCGCAACGCATGCAGAAGGAGGCTGAGGCCGCTGAGCTGAAGAAGAGAGAAGCAGCCATCTTACGCCAGCAAGAGCTGGAGAGCTACATTAAAGAGAAAGAAAGGCAAATTCTTCTACTACAGGTGAGTGCTTTTACAGAAATTTTGTTCAAACTTAAACTATGTATGAGTAGTGCTGTCATGTTTTGTGTTGCAGTATTTTTATTTGATTAATTTACAAACAAGATATTTTATACATTTCTGAAAAGGATGACATGCTTTATTCATGTTATTATATTTGATTAGATAGGGTTTTTGGGGTTTTACGATCTAACCCAGGGCTGTCCAAACTCGGTCCTGGAGGGCCGGTGTCCTACAGAGTTTAGCTCCAACTTGCCTCAACACACCTGACTGGAAGTTTCTGTGCATAGTAAGAGCTTGATTAGCTGGTTCAGGTGTGTTTAATTAGGGTTGGAGCTAAACTCTGCAGGACACCGGCCCTCCAGGACCGAGTTTGGACAGCCCTGACCTAACCCCTCTCTCACCCTGCATTCATCTCTATTTCAGGAAGAGGCAAAGGACTTCATCACACCGGACAATCTAGATCAGCGTATTGAAGAGGCTCTTGACAACCCGAAAAACTACAACTTTGCCATTGATAAAGAAGGACGTGTTGTCAAACGGACTGCATTTCAGCAATAAGGACTTCAAAAACCAAAATACATACAATGTACATAAAATATATATTGTCAGTGTCATCGTTTAAACTGTATGGACAAAAAAAATGTTTTTCTCAAAGCTGATCCATATGAGTGCTTTCTGACCCTCTGCAAGTATTATGAGAGAGTCATTGGAAGTAGTGAGTGATATGTGAGGAACTCAAAATGTCTCAAATATACTAAAGTCTCTTAGGACTGTCTTCTTAAGAAGGTCTTCACTAGTCAAAATAGTTAATACAGTAAAAGCACCAACTAATGTCATTACACCTAAAAATGGCAAAACAAATGTCCAGTAAGTGTGTGCTGAATTAATTCTAATTACCTTAAATGTAGAATAATTGAAGTGCCACAAAATGTAGCCATAACACTTAAACATTATACATGCTAGCAAGCGAGTGTTTTTAGTTTGTTCATGACGTTAAAGGGTTAGTACCCAAAAATGAAAGAAAAAAAAAACGACTTCATTCAACAATTCGTCACAGAACAGCATACGCTGTTTACGTCCAGCTGATATTCTCCAAAATGGCACCAGGGTGATGCGGAGGAGACGAATTGTTGAATGAAGTTGTTTTTTTCTTTTGTGCACAAAAAGTATTTTCGTAGCTTTGTATAATTGCAGATGAACCCCTGATGTCACATGGATTATTTTACAGATCTCCTTGCTACGTTTCTGGACTTGGGAACATTTCAGTTGCGTTGCTGTCTATGCAGGGTCAGACAGCTTTCAGATTCCATCAAAAATATCTTAATTTGTGCTCCGAAGATGAACGAAGGTCTTACGGGTTTGAAATGACACGAGGGTGAGTAATTAATGACAGAATTTTCATTTTTGGGTTTTTCCCGTGGTTTTTTTGTTGTTTTGTTTTAAATATTCACAATCCTTGTGTCGCATGTCACAATAGCAACAGTTACTATTTCAGATTGAATAATGCACTTTTTTTATAGGTTATTAATATGAATACTGAAGATCATTTATTTTTATCCATAAAATTGAATAATAGATCCATGAATTGTATTTAAACTTTTACATTCTTACCTCATCTTACATTACCTGGGAAATAGATGCTCAATTCAGATCTGCATATCATACTACTCTAAAAATATAATAATATAGCATACTACTCTTTATATAACGATATGGTAAAAAAGTAGTATGCTAGTATGCAGTTCTAAATCAGCAAAGAGTTTCAAATTCAGCAAGAGTTTGACATCAAATTAATCAAAGATATTTAATAATTCAATTGCATTTATTACACTATCACTTAATCATATCTACATAATATTTCTGATTAGTAAGGTTTTACTTGTCACACTAGACAAAAATGTACGAATTGCGTGGCTTGTCAGATGGAGTCTCCCACAGGGTTGCCAGGTGTGTGTAACAAAACCAACAAGCCCAATGACTCTATCCAAATATCAAAACTCAGCATATGCAACTCTCATACCTAAAATACGTATTTTACAGTCACTAGTATATGTACTACACAATTTAAACTTTAAAATAACTAGTAGTAATCATAAATAATCTGTTTTCATATAATAAAGACATTGCATCAAAGAAATTACATTATGTCTAAGGTAAAGAAAAAAACTCATGGCAGAGTTGGTAGAATGTAAAATATTTCTAAATACTAATTTCAGTCGATAATCTATGCAATATGCAAACCTCTTTAAACCGCGGGAAAAATCAACCTACATTTACGCAATTCACGGGATAACCGCGAACTTGGCAACCCTGAGCTCCTCAGACTAGTCCTTACATGCGCAGACGCGTTGGCCAACTACTGCTTCCGGTACAGTCACCGAGACACCGACCCTACAGGAGAAGAAGAGCCGAGGACTGGACAGGCGCGCCTCGACAAGCATATGTGAAGAACATTTTAACCACATATTCATATTTAAAGAAGATTTTATATACATTTTCACAGGAACTGTTGCTAATATATAATGTGTTTGACACAGTGATGTCCTGCTTCCATCGGGATTGAATGTTTTCTACGATACATCTGATCTGATGCAACATGGCAACATCACATGTTAATAGATGTCTCATAAGGACAATCACGAGATGTCTCCGGGACAGCAGTCGGCAGCCAAATGTGATGACAGTAAGGCCTTTAGGACACTTTTCTAACTCCTCTTCAGGTAAAGAGGAACATGAAGCAGGAGCTGTAACGCTAGTTTCACGCCGGAGTTCAGGAGGCGGCGGTCGCAGCGCTCGCCTGGCAGCCGCGTTTGGACTGGGACTCGGAGCAGCAGCATTGTATTCATTAAGAGACGAGGACAATAAAGATGCCCTACAGAGGACAGTCGCGGTCAGGCATTTGCTAATTGACAGTTTACTACCGACGGTCCAATGTGCCTCCCCGTTTAAACCGGACAGCCCGCGGTACAAGTATAATTTCATCGCGGATGTGGTTGAGAAGTCCACACCTGCTGTAGTCTACATCGAGATCGTTGGGCGGTGAGTCTGTCAAAAATGCAACGAAACTGTGTTCTAGTCCTGCTGAAAACATCTTAAACTAGCTTAAAACGAGTCTCTGAGCTGGTTTAAAGGAGTCTTGCATTCTGGTCAAGCTGCTGACAAACCCTTCTTATAAACTAGCCACCCTGACTAGACTTGGAGGCCAGCAAACCAGTTTAGGCTTGTTTAAGTTGTTTTTCTCAGCAGGGACTTTTTCATTCTTTGTGAACTGGTTGTATCTGACATCTAGGTGTTTAGTTTCAGTTCTGCTGGGTATTGTGACTAATACTATATGCTGTGTTTTTCAGACACCCCTTTTCTGGCCGTGAGGTGCCCATCTCGAATGGCTCTGGCTTCATCATAAGTAGCGATGGCCTGATAGTGACCAATGCCCATGTGGTCGCCAACAAGCGTGGCGTTCGTGTTAAACTGACCAATGGAGAGACTTACAACGCCACGGTCCAGGATGTCGACCAGGCTGCAGACATCGCTACCATCAAAATCAGTGCTAAGGTACCAGTGGTGCTTTAATGCAGTGTTTCCCAACCTTTCTTTAGTCGCGGCACCCTTTGGAAATTTTAACAAACTTGTGGCACCCTACAAAATTAATTTTGTCACAATATTTGAATTTGTAACTTCGATATGATAATTTGAAAAGTGTAGATATTCGGTACAACAGGGAAGAACTGCAGAATATAATGTCATACAGATATTTTTAATATTATTAAAAAATTTTGTCCATCAATGGTGGAAATCAGTAGGCTAATTTCTATTGAAGAGACCAATTTATAATAAATGTAATAAAGTAAGAAATAAAGAAATGAATAATGATAGCACAAATAAAAAATAACGACAGGCCTTTGAATTAAATAAATTGCTTTTTAGTTTTTCAGGTAGGTCTAACAGTAGGGTTAAGATATTTAAATTGTTTTATTTTTAAATTTTTTTTTACCAATTATCCAAATAATGTTTAGTCCTAGAAAGCTATTATTATCAGAACACGT